CCCAACCGCAGGGGGCGGGCCCGCGGCCGCGCGCGCGCGCGGGACATGTCTCTGTGACACACAATCAGCGCAGACTGCAGCGCGGCCCAGCCCCCGCGCAGCCCGCCTCAGACGCTCGGGCGCCGGGGGGCTTCGCCGGACTGGCTGGGCAAAGGAAATGACGAACAAAACGATTTTCTGCAGAGGGAGGAAGAGCCCCCGGCCGAAACCCCGAGGGAAAGTCCGTTCCCCTTGCGCCAGCCGGACTGCCCCCGCCTGCCTGCTGGGGAAGGTGGAATGGGGGCGTGAGGGCCGGGTTCTGGGGGCGTCGGGTCTTTCCAAGGTTGGGACCCAAGGCACGCAGGCCCCAGCAGCCCGCCCAGACCGAGCCCGACGCTGGGCTCTTCCCCTCGCCACCAGGACTGCCTCGTTCTGGCCCGGCACCTCCAACGACGTGCCCCGACTTCGGCGTCTCTTCCCTCTGCTGACCTCCTAGTGTCTTTCCCTGTCCGTCGTTTTCCCCTCCCACGACGCCCTGCACCTCTCCTCCCTCGTCGCTGCCCCATCGGAGGCTCTCGCGGGCCGCCGCAGGACCAGTTTCCGTAGGCCGCGGGCGCTGGTCCTTCCCGAGCAGTTACTTGATAATCCCCCCACCCCAGCCCCGACACAGACTCCATGTGCCGGTGGCAGGAAGCCGGTTCTGAGCCGGCGTCTGAGCTGCGGCGGGGTGGAAGTGGGGGGCTGCCACACCCCCACCCCCGGCCTCCTCCTCCGGCAGGGACTGAACAGAACCGCAAAAGGTCTACATTTATTTAATATGATGGTCTTTGCAAAAAGGAAAAAAAAACAAAAACCCAAGCGGCTGCTGCTTTGTAGGAAGACGGTGTGTGTCGTGTGAAGGCGAACCCCGTGTATATAAGCCCGTCCTCGGCCCCGCCCCGCCCGGTAGAGTCCCCGCCGCCCGCCGGCCCTGCCTGTAGATACGCCCGCTGTCTGTGCTGTGAGAGTCGCCGCTCGCTGGGGGGGAGGGGGGGGGACACAGCTACACGCCCACTAAAGCACAGCACGTCCTGGGGGAGGGGGGCATTTTTTTATGTTACGGAAAAAAATTACGAAAGAAAAGAAATCTCTATGCAAAATGACGAACATGGTCCTGTGGACTCCTCTCGCCTCTGCTTTGTTGGCTGTTTCTCTGTAATTCCGTGTTCTCGCTCTCTCCTCTGCATCTCTTCCCGCCCTCTCTCTCTCCCCTCTCGCCATCTTTCTCCCTCGGCATCTCGCCCTCTCTGTCCCAGTCTCTCTCCCTCGGTCTCTCTAGTCAGTCCGTCTCTGTCCCTCCCACGGCCTCTCTCCCAGCCGGGTCCCGGCCGCCTGGCCCTCGCAGGCTCGCTCACTGGGGGCTGCGCCAGCCC